TACCATCTGTCTTCTGTTCTCTGGTGATCCTCGTGGGGTGTGGTGTCTGTCCTCTGTTCTCTGGTTCCCTGGTGACCTTCATGGGGTGTGATGTCGTCTGTTCCCTGGTTCCCTGGTGATCCTCGTGGGGTGTAGCATCTGTCTTCTGTTTCCTGGTGATCCTCGTGGGGTATGTTGTCTGCCTTCTGTTCTCTGTTCCCTGGTGACCTTCGTGGGGTGTGGCGTCTGTCTTCTGTTCCCTGGTTCCCTGGTGATCCTTGTGGGGTGTAGCATCTGTCTTCTGTTCCCTGGTGGTCCTTGTGGGGTGTGGTGAGTGTTCTCTGTTCCCTGGTGACCTTCGTGGGGTGTGATGTCTTCTGTTCCCTGGTTCCCTGGTGATCCTCGTGGGGTGGGGTGTCTGTCGGCCCTCATCTGGGCTTCTCTGTGCTTCATCTGCGTTTTTCTTATATCTCGGGTGTGGTCTTTTAACTGAACAAAGAAAACCCATTCCCAAATGGGATTATAATCACAGGTATAAACCCAACTCACTGCCATCTAATCCATTCCAACTCACAGCGCCCCTAGAGGACAGAGTACCCCTGCCCCAGAGCATTTCCAAGGCTGTCTTTATGGAAGCAAACTGCCTCACCTTTCTGCCATGGAGCAGCTGGTGGGTTCAAACTGCCCGTCTTTTTGTTAGCAGCCAAGCGCTTAAGCAGTGCACCACAAGAGCTGCTTAAGCACAGGTCTAGGGCTGGAATTTCCGGCACATACTCTGGAGGACACAGTTTGGTCCTAACACTGTGGTCGTGGGTTGACTGCAGAAGCACATTCTTGAGTATACGTCTTTCTGATGTAGATGCTTCCCAAGTTGGAACCAGTGGGAGGGAAACTTAATTTTATACTTAAAATGTAGATTCAGTGAATCTGTTAAATTCAGATGAAATGTTTCCATGTCAGTGTTGTATTCTATGGAAAGTCTTTAAAACACTGTAAGGTTCAGTCTTTGCTTGTTTTTGGCACAAAACCAATGTGTTTCGTGTTGTTGCCTTCTGATGCCTCATTTTCAAAACTAGTCCACAGCCCCTTCCAGGCTTCTCTTTGCCAGTCTTACAGCCTGTCCTCATCAGTCAAGATGTGCCTTTTGTGGAGAGCAGAGAGAATGTTCCAAGTACTCTTGGAATGACTGTAGTAATTTTGTAATTAAAAAACACTTCAGACACACAGAAAAGTACACTGAGTCTCATTACAGGGAGTCCTCGTTTTAGTGAGAATGAGGTGGGCAGACGTGCCCAGACGCTGTCAGCAAACTGTAGTGGGTTGTCCGAACGGCACCAAGGAGCCTTGCACAGTGTGTGGGCTGACAGTGATGGCACCAGCTGTACCAGACCCACACCTGAGTGGTGGCCCCAACTGCGCTGTATCCACATCCAAGGGAAGCGTTTTCCATTAACCTGGTCATCCCTCAGACTCTGAGGACTCTCCATGAGAATACTACCTGTTATGGCTATTAATAAGAGTCATCTGCCCAGGTCGTGAGACAGGGCCTAATTATTGTTGAATCTTTCTGAGCTGCATTGTCATGATGTTAAAAGTGAATTAAGTTTACAGCCTGCCTTTTTCTGTTATATTCTTATTTGTTAGTGGTGCTTTTATGTTTTGATTAAGTTCAACTAAATTGGCAAAATAGGAAGAAAATATTTATCACATCAGGTTTTGCCCATTGCTTCAATGAGGTGAAAAATTCTATGTCTTTTGGAAAGCTTTCTGTGATATCAATTCATTATGCATTCATCACTTCTCTGTTTACCACAGACAATCTGGGAGATCAGCACATATGGTAATATGTAAAGGAGTGCTTGTCCAGGCTTGGCTGGCTCAGACACCAGGTGTGGGTTTACCTGCCTTTAGAGAACAAGGCAGATCCAAGCCTCACAGCTCTTCCAGTTATACACAGTCACAACCAGACAACACCAAAAAGACAGACGTGGGCTCCGTAGATGATGCTAAGCAAGCAGGTCCGACGGCTGCATCCCCCCAGCCACCTGCTGGGGGCATATTAGATGGAAGGTGTACCTGTACCCAGTGCCCCATCCATGGCCTGAAGATAGGGTCCTTGTACCCGCTGCCATGTCCGTGGGCCTGGCGGCAGGGTCCCTATACCCAGTGCCATATCTGTGAGCCCAGCAGCAGGGTCCTCGTACCTAGTGCCATATCTGTGGGCCCGCCTGCAGGCTCCCCATAACCAGTGCCACATCCGTGGGCCTGGCAGCGGGGTCCCCATACCCAGTGGTACCTGAGGTCAGTTTTCTCCCTGAATCCTGCCTTGCACATCAGTGAATTGCACGTTAGATTAACGGGACATGAAAAGGTTGTAAGATGGTCACTGTCCTTGCTTTTCTAGTGGTCATAGGTTGAAGTGAGGGCGACAGATAACGTTCTCTTTCACATTAACGCTGTATCTCACCTTCAGAATTTGTAAAACTAACGAGGAAAATTAAGAGCGGGTTGTGCAGTGTGTGCTGCTGAAAAACGACTTCCAGGCCTCGGATGGAGCGTATCCACGGGCGCTGCGGCCCTGGCAGACTGTCTGTCTTCCTCAGATCCTTCTTGGTTGTCGCTGACATTTTAAAGACCAAGAGATGATCGTGTCCCCGGCACACTGAATTAGGAGACAGACTTTGAGGAGTGTGGGTGGCTGTATTGCAGGAGTGGCCGGCTCTCACGGTACCCTGGGCTGAGCACAGTCCCCAGGGAAGCCCTTTCATCTCTACCATGGGATGGGCTGGTCCCCCTGGTGCCATCTTGGTCTGATGGTCAGCAGTAAGTTTGGCCAGTGAGACTCTGCCCCTAGTTACTCCAGGGGTGGAGGTGCTGTAGCAGGCTGCATGGACACACACCTGCGTGAGCAGGTAGGATGCACACATACACACCCCGTGGTTACCAGTGAAGAGACTATCTGTGTGTTCTCATGTTGTACATACATGGCCATGCGTTGCTTCAGACATTCTGAAAAATTGACTTTTCCAAAGGCTGTTTTCCCAGTTGACGTTTGCAAGTTTGGTACTAACCAAACTGAGTCCTCTGTTGAATGATTACTGTGACTCGGGTGGAGGGGCTGGCTTCCATCCCAGCCCTTCCTCATGAGGCGGCTGCGTCTCTGTGCCCCCTTTGAGGTATCTCTGTAAGGACCGCTTTCCTGTTTTTGCAGGTACTGTAATAGGTGTTGTCATTTACACTGGAAAAGAGACTCGAAGTGTAATGAATACATCCGACCCCAAAAAGAAGGTAGGCTAGACGCAGGGGCTGCTGCCTTACGGACTCTCCCTTCCCTCCCCGTAAGTGTGTCCGGTCCCACGTGACGCGGTATCGAAGCGGGCTTGCCACAGCGCCACCGGCCAGGGGGTGAGTTCTCCACTGCACACCTTCTGAAGAGCCTTGCCTTGCTGGTCAGAGTTCCTGTGTCTCTGCATCTTTAGCTGCTAGCTACGTAATTGGCCAGCTTATTGTAAGCCCCATTTTTCATCTTCAATCTGCTTGTTTTACAATAAGCACTCTGTATTTTTATGATGGTGGTTGGTTCATTTTTAACATAAAGGAATTGGTGTTTTCATAGCACTTAATTTGGTAGCGTTTGATAGATTGTGGAGACCACTTTATTTAATTAATTTCCATTTCCAGAAAAGCATATTGAAACTAAAGCTCATTTTTAATGACCGAATGACTTAACTTCCTCAGGTGTGATTTATGCCGTCAAAGTGCATGTAAGTAGAACCATAACAAGAAGTATGAATTGCCAGCGATCATTGGAATAACAGATTTTATAAGCTTCAGTCAAGCTGTGTCTGTGTGTCTCGTTCTGAGAAGCTGGTAGAGAACGAAACTTACCCGTTTGTGTTTGAGTCTAACCTGCTGAGCTTCTGAGAAGCCATATCCCTGTGGATTTCCCTCCTGTAATTAACAGCAAACTCCTCTCTCAGGAACTTTTATTACAAATCAGTAGAAGTGAAACAATTCTATTCAAAAAATATTTTTAGAAAAAAAAAAATGTATTCTATTTAAAATACCATTTTGAATAGCTCTTCACAGATTAGGAGGTCGATAACCCTGTTAGTGTGGGCATGTCCCCAGTGCTACCAGCTGGTGCTGTGTGTCCCTCGTCCCTGGTGCCTACCCGTCAGTGGTCGCTCTCCCTGTGAGTGCGTGGGGCCTGTCCCATGATGGCGGCTAGCACTGCATGTCTCTGGTCACTGTTCCTGTGTGTGTATGGGGCCTGTTCCCAGTGCTTCTGGCTGGTGCTACATGTCCCTGGTCCCTGGCGTGTCTACTTGTTAGTGGTCACTGTCACTGTCAGTGCATGGGGCCTGTCTCTAGTGCTGCTGACTGGCACTGTACATCACTGGTCCCTGGCATCTGCCCGTCAGTGGTCACTGTGCTTGTCAGTGTGTGAAACCTGTCCCCCATGCTGCTGGCAGATGCTGCGTGTCCTGGTATCCCCTGTTCAGGGGCACAGTCAGGAGCATTCCGGGTTCACAGTCGCCAGGTTACCTCTAACAAACCTTTGTCTGTAGTCATTAGGACATGCATTATACATGAGACGCTGCAGCCAGAAAGGATGTGTGTGGCCCTGTATCACTGTGTCTTACAGCTGTGACCCCAGGCAGTGGTCTCCTTGGGTTATCCTAGTCGGTGTGCGGCCCCGGGTCTGTGTGTTCCAGCTGTGACTCTGGGCAGAGGTCTGGGGTTATCCTAGTCGGTGTGTGGTCCCGGGTCAGTGTGTTCCAGCTGTGACTCTGGGCAGCGGTCTCCTTGGGTTATCCTACTCGGTGTGTGGTCCCGGGTCAGTGTGTTCCAGCTGTGACTCCGGGCAGCGGTCTCCTTGGGTTATCCTAGTCAGTGTGCGGTCCCGGGTCAGTGTGTTCCAGCTGTGACCCCGGGCAGCGGTCTCCTTGGGTTATCCTACTCGGTGTGCGGTCCCGGGTCAGTGTGTTCCAGCTGTGACTCCGGGCAGCG